AGGGAGAGGCAAGGAGGAAATCTCAGTTAACTGAAAGAACTGAGATACAATAAATTATTTGAGAATATGACAGTCATCAGTGCTGACCGAGCATACCTCGGTCTACCCCTTCCAGTCACAAGAAAAAGATTGCCTCCTGTGCCTTTGTGGCTAGTTTGGGCCATGTGATTAGATCAATGAGTCTCATGGGTTGGAGCACTTATTTTTTTTGCTTTTGTTTTTGTTTTAGGAAAACTGTTTTTATTAATTTTATTTGTCCCCCCCAATGAGTCTCATGGGTTAGAGCACTTCCAGAGAGCTCTTTAGCCCTGGTGAAAAGCAAAGTTTGCAATAGTAGTTGCTTCAACAGCCGGAATACAGAATGGACCTTGAACAGAACTCCCAGCACCTTCTACAATAACTGAGAAAAACATATTATTGAGTGACTGAGATTTGGGAGCTATTTGCTATCACTTAGTTTATTTCATCTTTACTCGCACATTCAGGCACATTCCCTTCTGTAACGACAGATCCTCAGTATTGATCATAACACATAATCTATCCTCCCATTAATAATTCTTATAAAGTAGGGTGATATTATAAATATTTGGAGGTAGACTTCAACTGTGTAAAGCTCTGGGAGAAACATGACAAATCCTTACATTTATTCAATGATATGCCACAGTCTGGAAGGGAAGTTCCCAGAAAAAAAGAGCCTATTTCTAGAAAAAAATTTGTTGTGTGTGTGTGGTTTTTGTTGTGTTTTTTTAAATATTTGGACACTCCTAAGAAAAGTATCAAGAAAGTTATTCATTATAGAAAAATTAAGAAAAGTATTTAAAGCAATTTGAGCACATATAGTAAATGTGAATGCTTGTACAATTGTTTCAAATATATTTTGGTTTCTTATAATAAGTTCAAGCAAAGTCCAATTTCTTCTGGGCCACTGATATTCAAATAATTATACATCCTACCTTTTCCCTTTCAGACTGAAATATCCACAATTGTGGTCTATCTAATGTATTAGGGCATATTTTTGGTCATTGGGAGCCCTTAGCATTTTAATAAATAGAGCCATATCCTATTGGTAGAATTAAATCTCCATGAACTATACAAAGTATGCCAGTACTTTCTAAGTAGTAGTATCTTCTTTTGTGACAAAGTTCCGTTTTGAATGCACTATCTCTCAGTATATACACTAGTACCATTCATCAGCATATCAAGATATAGTACCAAATGTTAAGTCCAGAATAAGTACTAAATTGTATTCCTTTTTTGTATTCTTTATGGAGGGTCTCAGTCTACACTTAGAGCAAGCACAGTTTGTCTTAAATGTGTTAACTTCATTACACATAAATAATGCAGAAAAAATAAAAAACTAATTATATCTATTATATGCCCCCCAAGCAAGCATGATTTAAAGTTTGACAACTAGGGTCCAAATCTACTAGGTGTACTGGTTAATAATGGCGGATTTTGTAATCAAAGAAAACATGATAATTTCAATAGAAACATAAAAGTGCTAGATTCAAAGTAATGTCCAGCGCTAGCTATGCATTTCCCCCATCTTTCAGGTAATTTGTGGATACCGTCCCAATAGAACTTTTCTTGTTTTGAGGCAAACCACTCAGAGACCCAATTTTCCACTTCTTCGTACGTTTTGAAGTGCTGCTCAAAAAGTGCGTGTGCCATTGATAGGAACAAGTGGTCATCTGAAGGAGCAAGGTCTGGTGAATACGGCGGGTGGGTTAATACTTCCCAGGCAAGAACTTTTAATGTGTCTTTAACTAGTTTTGAAGTGTGTGATGGTGCATCATCATGAAGCAAAATTACTTTGCCGTGTCTTCTGGCACATTCTGGTCATTTCACGATTAAAGTGTGGTTCAATTGATTATTTGTTGTCGGTAGCAATCAGTATTAACCGTTTCACCTGGTTTTAGAAGCTTATACTACACTGCACCTTCCTGATCCCACCAAATGCAGAGCATTGTCTTCCTTCTGAAGCAATTTGGCCTTGCAGTCCATGTCAATGGTTGACCGGGATCAACCCAGGATTTTGTGCATTTGGGATTCTCAAAATAAATCCACTTTTCATCACCAGTCACAATTTGATGCAAAGAAGACTTTCTTTCATACCGTTGAAGCAACATATTACTGATGACTTTTCAGTTTTCCATTTGTCTTTTGTTCAGTTTACGTGGCACCCATTTCCCTTCCTTTAAAATCTTTCCCAATAAAACAATTAAAAAAATCTTTCCCATTGCTTGTAATGATTGGAAATTGTTTGCTGAGCAATGTTTAATCTTTCTGTAAGTTGTTTTTGAGCTTGACACACATATTCATCCAATAATGCTTGTAATTGTTAGGCTTCAAACTTTTTCAGTTGACCTGGACATTCTTT